TACTTGGGAGATGACCTTATTTTCAGAAACAGTGAATTTGGGATCTGGTGAGTCCCAAGGAGCATTCATGAGGAGCTCTCCAGTAGCCAGAGGGAAGCTTGGAACTGGGAAGGGAGGCAAGGGCTGAAGATAGAGATTTCAGAAATATCTTAGAGAAAAAAACATGCTTATCCTTGGGCCCAGCAATTCTACTTGTAGGAATTTGTCCTGAGGATTTGTGTAAATTTTTATTTATTTGTTTTTGAGACAGCATTCTCTCCATGTTGCCAAGGCTGGCCTCGAACTCCTGGGCTCAAGAGATCCTCTCACCTCAGCCTCCTGAGTAGCTGAGATTACCAATGTGAGCCACTGTGCCCAGCTTGTGTGAAAATTTATCTACAGAAATGCTCACTGTTTATAACAGTAAAGGAGTGGAAACTTTTATTTATAAACTGCTATGACAGTGAAAAATGCCTAACAGTAGGGGATTGGTTAAATAAATTATACTATACCCATGCAATGGAATTCTATTTGGACAGTAAAATGGATATTGTAGATGAATGCTTATTGGCATGAAAAAAAAATCCACAGTATTTTGCCTAAGTAGAAAATGGTAGACTCTAAAACTAATTGTAGAGTGAAAGATCCAGTTATTGTTTAAGAAAAAAATTAAGACAATAATATTGTGGTTTTTGTTGTTGTTGTTGTTGTTGTTTGAGACGGAGTCTCGCTCTGTCACCCAGGCTGGAGTGCAATGGTGTGGTCTCGGCTCACCACAACCTCTGCCTCCCGGGTTCAAGCGATTCTCCTGCCTCAGCCTCCCGAGTAGCTGGGATTACAGGCGCCCAGCACCACGCCTAGCTAATTTTTGTATTTTTAGTAGAGATGGGGTTTTACCATGTTGGCCAGGCTGGTCTTGAACTCCTGATCTCATGATCCGCCCTCCTCGGCCTCCCAAGGTACTTGGGATTATAGGCGTGAGCCACCGAACCCAGCCAGTACTGATTCTTTCTAGGTGATGTGATTATGAGTGTGTTTTCTTTCTTTTTAATTTTTTCCACATCAATCATACATGGCTTTTGTTGTAAGACAACTATTTTAAAACATTGAATAAAATTAAGAGGAATGACTTAGGGATAGCTCTGGGAATGAGAAGATGAGAGGATCAAGGATGGAACGTTGATCAATAGCCTTGATACCTCCGGCCATGTGGCCCCTGTCCATGCAGTTGACTATGTCTTGAGGGTGCCACCCATGTCACATCTGCTACATTGCTGCATGGTAGAATACACGGAGCAGACTGCTACAACTGTGAGCTTCAGGCAAACTTTTTTTTTTTTTTTGAGACAGAGTCTCACTGTGTCGCCAGGCTAGAGTGCAGTGGTGCGACATTGGCTCACTGCAACTTCCGCCTTCTGGGTTCAAGTGATTCTCCTGCCTCAGCCTCCTGAGTAGCTGAGATTACCAATGTGGCCGGGACTACAGGCACGCATCACCACGCCTAGCTAATTTTTGTATTTTTAGTAGAGACAGGGTTTCACCATGTTGGCCAGGATGGTATCGATCTCTTGACCTTGTGATCCGCCCGCCTTGGCCTCCCAAAGTGCTGGGATTACAGGTGTGAGCCACCGCGCGCCCGACCTTTTTTTTTTTTTTTGACATGGAGTCTCATTCTGTCACCCAGGCTGGAGTGCAATGGCGTGGTCTCAGCTCACTGCAATCTCCACCTCCCGGATTCAAGTGATTCTCCTGCCTCAGCCTCCAGAGTAGGATTACAGGCTCGCACCACCATGCCTGGCTAATTTTTGTATTTTTAGTAGAGACGGGTTTCACCATGTTGGCCAGGCTGGTCATGAGTTCCTGACCTCAGATGATCTGCCTGCCTCCGCCTCCCAAAGTGCTGGGGTTACAGGTGTGAGCCACCACACGCTGCTGGACAAACTTTTTGATTCCCTAAATCTGTTTTCTCATCTTTATAGTAGGGAGAACCTTCCTCAGAATAGTTATCTGACAATAAAATGTTTACAGACATACAATAGTTGCTAAGTAAATATTAGTCCATCCTCCCTTTCTTAGACATCCTTCCTTGCTAGACCCAGGTTTGACCTCCAGGCCCTTGTTTTGGCCCTCACAGTGGGAAGTGACACCCCCTCTCTCTGAATGCCCGAGGTGCTGTGTGGACTTCTATTGAACCCAGAACTTTGCTCTGACCTAGAGATAGTGGCTAGCTCTTCTGCATCCCTGACTTGTTCCCAGTAGAGCTTGGTCATGTCTCCATCCTGGTACGAACTAGCGCAGTGCTTTTGTACATGGAGGGTTCTCTAGAATTTTTATTGACTAAATTCATGTTTGTTTGTTTTTTTTTTGTTTTTGTTGTTTTACAACTTGGCTAATAGTGGAATACTCAAAGGCTGGATTACTCAAGGGTTAGTTTATTCTGACCTCTTGGAATTTTTCTCCTCCCAATTTGTAACTCTGGCAAGGTTTATCTTCCAGTCTGCACAGATGACCAGCAGAGAGAGACAAAGAAGGAAGCTCACTTAGACCTCTAGGCTCCCTGTCGGAAGCTCTGAGGAGAGAGCTGGAGGATGAAGAAGGGGAAAGTAAAAGCTGTTTACCCCCAGGCTGGGTAGGGGTGTGGTCTCCCACTCTCCAGGGTTTAGACTGTCAGAACTCCAGCAGGACAGCTTGGGGACAAAGGGAATCGGGTAGGCACATCATTCTACAGGCCTAGATCCTTTTTGCCTGGCAGTCGAATCCTTCTCTCCATTCCTGCCTCTTGTGGCTGGTGCTGTGTATCTAGCCATTTTCCCCTTCCCCTGCTTTCCCCCAGCGGGCACGCCAGCTTGCTCAGGTGCCCACCCTTCCTGCTAATACGTTGTTAGGTTAGGGAGGCAGTCTGGCGCTGACGAAGGACCTTTGGGTGCCAAGTTAGGAGACCTGTGTGACCTGTGGCAAGTTGAATAAGCTCCTTGAACCTCAGTTTCTGCATCTATAAGCTGGGAATAGCTACAAGGTCTCTGTCCTGTCTCATCCTAGGGTTACTGACGGGAACCAAGTGAGATTTATGAGACTTTATGAACAGGCAAAGAGCGCTTTATAAAACCCAGGTGTTTCCAGCGTTGACTGTGGGGCTTTCTCCTGGTAACTACCCACCAAAGCCTCCCTGTCCGCCCCGCCCTGGCTGCATCGGCCTCACCCACTGCATCACCATCTTTTCCATCACTGTCTTCCTGCGTCTCAGAAGTCCTGTTTCTGCATCTCCCCCGTCCATTTCCGGGTCTGGCTCTCCGGCCCCTGCGACCCCTCCAGGGACTCTGTTCTCCTTCTCCTTGAGGCAGTCGCTTCCCAGGCGCCCCCCGCCCGGTACGCCCTCCTTCGGCACAGCCGCCGGGCCAGAGAATCGCCCAATAAGAGCGCCGGACTGAAGTCTGACAGCTCCGGAAGCGGCCAATCGAGCCGGGCCAGGGAAGGGGGGCGCAGCGCTGGGGCTGAAGTTGGGCTAAATGGGGGGAGGGGGATTAAAGGGGGATACAAAAGAGGGGAGCTAGGACTGGGGGCGCTGGAGCCCCAGCCGGGGGCGGGAGAAGACCGCGCTCCACCCAGGTCTGGTAACGGGACCGCAGGCTGGATGCGGCTCCTGGTCCCAGGGAGGGAGGGGCGCAGCGAGAATTTTAGGTGAGGAAGGGGAACTGGGGTGCCAGCGGCCAGGCCTGAGGATGCCCGCGGGGCGCCGAGGCTGGGGCCACGGCCAGGCCGGGGGCGGAGGCGGCCTCGCGCCGCTGTGAGCCGAGGCCCGGGCGGCGCGGGGGGCGGGGAGGCAGCGGGAGGAGGGGATGCGGAGGGCTCTCCGGCGGCGGCGAGCGGGCGAGAAGGGAGGAGCGGCGCGAGCGGCCGGAGCGGCGCAGGGCCCGAAGCGTGCATGGCGCGCCCTGAGCCGGGCTCTCGCGGGCCCCCCCGGAGCGCCTCCCGGGCGCCGCGGCTCTCAGGCGGGCCCCTCTGGGCCGGCTGCTTCTGAGCCCCGGCCCTGGATCTCTGGATGCCTTACTCCTCGGGAGAAGCCTGCCTGCGTTGGGGCAGAACGGCGGCAGCGCTGCGCCGGATTCCGTCCTCCGCCTAGTCGTTCCGCACCGGCCGCGGTGGGCCCGCAGCCGGCGGCGAGGAGCTCGGGGCTTGCGAAGCGGGCGCGACAGCTCTCCGGGCCGGCAGGTCCCGGCCGGCCCCGCTCCGTTTGCGGGAAAGGGGGAGGCGAGAGGGGAAGGGCCGCACCGCAGGAGCCGGTCCCGGACCCGGACCCCGCCCCCTGCGCGGACGCGCCGAAGGCTCGGCTCGGCTTTTGCCGGGGCCACGCTTCCACTCTCGCCGCGGGAGGTGGGGGATGCGGGCGACGGCCCCCCCGGGCTCCAGGACCCTCCCCCCCGGGGCTCCGGAGCTGTTGCTCCGCCCGCCGCCCCCTCTTTTTTTTTTGTTTTTGTTGTTTTACAACTTGGCTAATAGTGGAATACTCAAAGGCTGGCAGGCTGGAGTGCAATGGCGTGGTCTCAGCTCACTGCAATCTCCACCTCCCGGATTCAAGTGATTCTCCTGCCTCAGCCTCCAGAGTAGGATTACAGGCTCGCACGATCGAGCAACACTCCGGAGCCCCGGGGGGGAGGGTCCTGGACCCGGGGGGCCGCGCCCCGCATCCCCCACCTCCCGCGGCGAGAGTGGAAGGCGTGGCCGGCAAAAGCCGAGCGAGCCTTCGGCGCGTCCGCGCAGGGGCGGGTCGTGTCCGGGACCGGCTCCTGCGGCGCCCTTCCCCTCTCGCCTTCCCCCTTTCCCGCAAACGGAGGGGCCGGCGGCGCCCTTGCCGGCCCGGAGAGCTGGTCGCGGCTCCGCTTCTGCAAGCCCCGAGCTCCTCGCCGCCGGCTGCGGGCCCACCGGCGGCCGGTGCGGAACGACTAAGGCCGAGGACGGAATCGGCGCAGCCCGCTGCC